TCAATGGACTGCTAGAGGCTGTTGGTGATCATGATGATACGTTCTACGTTGGCACGCGTTGACTCTTTTAACGCCGTTCAACGGAAGAGGATTGCTTCTTTCATGTCCAGAGTCACCGACTCATACGATAATTTGATTATCAGGGGTATGGCAGAGAGACAAACATACATACATAGACATACCTCAACATTTAGACGATGGGTAGAAACTGTAATCTGACCTGATAATATTGTAATTAATTAGATAAATATATTTTTACCTATTTATATATTTACATTTTTAATATTGTATGTATTTTTTCTTTAAAATATCAAGTGTCTGAACTAAAATAAAATAAATAAATAAATAAAAATAAATTACACCCGGACACAGAACAAATGAACGTGCTCATAACCCAAATATTTATCCTGGGTGGGACGACCGCCAGTTTAACAGTCAGGGTTATTAACCACTTTTGTCTGATCCGCAAGGAGCCAACGCCTGAGTGCCACCACTGCGATGGCCAGACCGTGGACACGGCTCTCCACACGCTGGCAGAGTGCCCGGCGTGGGTTGAGCAGAGGCGAGACCGCGTGGCGGCCATCGGAGTGAGAATTCTCTCGCTCCATAGCCTGATTGCGGCTTTCGTGCGGAGCGAGAGTGCGTGGAACTCTGCAGTCTCCTTCGCGAACAGACCTTGCAGACGGCAGAAAAAAAAAAGGGTTATTAACCAGTAGACCAACAGACCAGTCGTAAATTGCATATAAAGAATTCTCCTCATGCATTCATATACACACATTTAGGATATATAACATAGCATTTTAATAGTCAAACTAAAAAAAGGTAAAACACGAATGAAAGTACGTAAAAAGTTTGTTTTTACATAAAATTGATATGCAATACGAAAACCCAGAGATCAATGCTAATATACATCCATCACCGTTAAAGTAATGTAGTTTTAAAATTTGTAATACTTCAAAAGACAGACAGACAGCGTCTCGGCAAACGTAGTGTAGGACGCCCACTCGCCAGGTGGAGTGACAATGATTTGCGCAAGATGGCTGGCAGGAGCTGGATGCGAGAAGCCCAAAACCGATCGAAGTGGCGTGCAATGGGAGAGGCCTATGTCCAGCAGCGGACTGCGATAGGCTGTTGATGATGATGAAGGCGACAGATAAAAAGAGAAAAAGAAGGAGTTCAGCGGTATTGTTTTCTTGAAGGTGTGAATATAGCTGCATAAACCTATTCGTGGCCAATACTAGGGTCTCGGGGGGACTTAACAATTATTAATATTATGTCAAAATAAGGTCATCAAAATGGTAACTGATCTTAATATGGCAACATATAACTGAAGTAATGTTAAAAATAGGTACATGAAATCGAAGTTTTTAAGCCGAGCCTCTATCCCAAACTAGGTTGAGGTCGGTTTTTAACTCTACTACGCTAAACCTGAACTTCGATTTTTTACGCAGAGCGACTGTCAACAGACCTCCACAACCCAAGTACTAGGCGATATCGAAGTTCTGTAACTAGAAGCCCGCACACTAGTGGGTCCGACCGCTTAGCGTGCTCTCCGAGGTGAAGAGAGGTATCAATGTGTAAAGAATGGTCACTCATCCAAAGACTGGTTTTCTATTATTGCTCAACTTTGCAATGTATTAATCTACTTTTTTATCACTAAGCCAGGAGCCCCTCAGTCGGAATGAAATTGAACAAAACATTAATTTTATAATTGCCTGTTAATAATATGTATCAACATAAAATCGTAATTAATGAATGATGTTAATTATAGCAATAATAATATTTTCGGACATCTGACATACAACGCCATCTAGTTTCAAACTAAGCAGAGCTTGTACTATGAAAGCTAGATTGACTGGTACAATACTTATCTACTAATTAACTATGATAACACTGTAGGTTCAACTTTTGTAAGTAAATGAATATGTTTTTATGCCATACGAATAATACTAAAGAGCAAATGGATCATCTGATCTAAAGTGTCTACAGCCTCCAATGAACACCATCATAAGAGTCACAAATGTGTCGCCTATTTTCTTTAAGGTTTGAAGTTAGTGTCCAAGGCTTTGTGCTACAAATTGGTTGTGCAAAGTAAATTGTGTCTTGATATCTGGTAAAATATTTGACAAAATAGATTGTGCCTGTTGTGTCTTGATCTATGACTTTAGAGTCATTACGTAAGAGACGATTTCAAATAATTTTAAAAGAATTAAATGTATTATGAAAATGAAAATTTTTGACTTTTGAGATGAGCACACTGGTGGATCTGTCAAGGTGAACTGTCAGTCATTCAAGTGATAGGAATAACAGTTAAATATATACATGGCGTAAGGGACATCGTAACGAATACTGAAATAGTGTATTCAGACCATCACTCTGAGTCTGAAATCATTGGAATTTTCTGCCGGAAAATTAAACTTTTATGTAATCAGCTGTCAAAGGTAAAGCATTTCCCGTAGGTATCGCACAAAAGTAATAACTACATGTGTATTCCGTGCAAACGGTCTACACTTACATAGATTGGCGGCCGGAGGGGAATCCCCGTGTGCTTCGGCTATTTGATTAATTACATTGCAGTTTTTGATCGTTCTGTTTACTCATTGTGATATCGTTATTAACCAAAAGAGTTGAAAAAAAAAACCGGCAGAAAATTCCAATGATATTCGACTCAGAATCATGGTCTGAATACACTATTTCAGTATTGTATTATAAAAATCAATTTACTGATTTATTATATCGAGCCTATTTTATCTCACGTCAATAATAAACCGAACGGTTAAATGAGTTGCAACCGTAAATCCATGATATGAAACTTTCAAACTTGGCCAGACCGCTTTTGTACAGTTAGTAAAGAAAATGTACCACTTTAGCTTGAGATGAGAAGTTGATAACTTAATATACGTTATAAAACAAATAACTACATTCAAAGATGCACTGTATCCTAGAAAAAGTAGTCAGAGGTGTATAAACGCTCACATTTTGCCTAATATATTTTTAGTCCTATTTATTCAAAAGGATGTAAGCCTGAAGCAACTGCCAATTGTCAACCAGGCATTTTATAGGACAGATAGCAAAATTGGAAAAAGATTGAAAAAAATAGAACAAGTGCGAGTCGAACTCGTCCACCGAGGGTTCCGTGATAAATAATTTAATTATAAATGAATAGTTTTCAGATTTTTCCCTACAAATTTAAATTCCCTGGAAACCACAAATATAAGTTTTTCGCGAAAGAAACGCTCGTTTCTTTTTGTTACGTTAACTTAGAAGTTTGATTTTTTTCATAGCTTCAAGGGATACGAAGGCTCGAGAATATGGCTTTAATTTCAACTTGATACCTCCACAAGTTGTCGAGATAAAGGGTCTTGACAGACAGACGGACAAGAAAGTGATTATATAAGGGTTCCGTTTTTTCCCATCATAAAATTTATATTACAAAAAATGAAAGCTTGAATGAAAAGCTTGATGAATGTGGAAGATGCGTGAAATGTGTGACAGGGTCGTAGATAAATAGCATTATTAAAAACCAAAGATACAAAAAAGAACTCTAGAAAAACAACAACTGCTTATTGAGACTGTTTTAATAAGCCCAAACATGGTATATATGCTGTAATTTTCTGAGGACTTGGCTATCCCGCAGACTACTTGATACATCAGAAAGTTTCAGATTACTATGTCGTGGAAATACCATCAAAATAACAGATCAATCAGACCTGTGGATTTTAGTGAGATCCCTTTATCACCTAGGAAGTGAGCTGATGATCCCAAAAATTTATAGCTAAGAACCATCTCGATGACATCGGCTTGCGAACAAAAAATCTGCTCGGGAGCTATGATGCCACAGAGAGACAGATACAGAGGTTAAACTTATGTCGTTTTGCGTCGGCTGTTAAAAATGGCGTTCTGTCGTCTCTGCCTACCCAGTGTCCCCTAAGTGTATGTAAATACTCGTATATAAGGAGAAAATAAAAAAAACCACTCAATTGGTTCTAAAACTTTGTTTTGTAACAATAACTATTCCTAAATTTTAGATCAATTTCCACATTTTTGTCAAGCTACCAAAATACCATGTGTTCTAAACTATTTTCTGCATGCGCACTGTTTTCAATTACTATGAACCTATTCTCCAGTCTGTTGCGTTTGCCATTTGATACCAAGTCTTCTATTACAACCAGGGCTGTGCTGTCTTTATCCAAGTAATAATAAAGCTGGTCAGATGTTGAAATTTAAAATAAAATATATATGCATGTATATTTCTTGGGCACACTGGAGTAATTTTGGCACTTGAGATTTCATTAGATTCGTCTTAATTGTGAGCATGTTACCAGATATATGAAAATTAGATGTATCAAAATTACCGGCTTTTAAGTACCTAAACATTTTCACGCAGTCAGGTTTGGTTTTTTTTTCTTCAAAAATTAGCTTGTTTCAAATTTATTTCTAACTAGCTGACCCGCGCAACTTCGTCTGCGTCTCTCAATAGTAATAAATTTTCTCCGTTTTTGAAACATTCTTCATTGGTGCTCCGCTCCTATTGGTCTTAGCGTGATGATATATAGCCTATAGCCTTCCTCGATAAATGGGCTATGAAACTGAAACTACTACTGAAACTACTAACACTGAAAGAATTTTTCAAATCGGACCAGTAGTTCCTGAGATTAGCGCGTTCAAACAAACAAACAAACAAACAAACTCTTCAGCTTTATAATATTAGTATAGATGGATACACAACGAAGTTCATTTTTGTAATGTATTTTATAAAATGATAAATTAAGTTATTAATAAACTGCTAAGACTATTCAATACTATTTTAATAATTCTCTTATTTGATAACCTTTACCCGTTTATAAACTTGAAATATATTCCCAACAGTACTGAACTGCATAAATGCATCGGCGCATCCTTCTCAGCACTCAGTCTACCGTGAAAATAAACGCATATAAGTGAACGAATGCTCCAGTTATCCACAGTGCCCATATTGCTCACCAAGTGCAAACAGCAACATGGTGAAATACCTCCTGATATTGACCTTGGCAGCCGTGGTCACAGCCCGCACGGCTACCACATCACAGAACAAATTAGAAGGAAGAAGTTCAGATGATACATTATTAGGAGACTTGAAACTAGCGTATGAGACATACAAAGATTGCAGTGAATCAGACATCGCACATTGTCTGAAGAGGAAATTAGCGAAGACTCTGACGAGGCTATCAAAAGCTGATGAAGTGGATCTGATTAATGGAGTGACGATTACCAAAGATAAAGATGCAAAGTTTGTTGAGAAGGAGGAAGCAATTCCTAGAGGGTTGGACGATGGATCGTTGAACAATCTAATTTTGGACAAGGTCGTCAATTTCATGAGGTCCCATGTGTTCCAGGTTAGTTTCATTTATTAAGTATTATTAACTAGTCTAAAAGGAGCATACGATTGTTTAAACATTTTATTCTTTATCTTAATAAAAACGACGATCTAGATGAAAACTTCGGGCATTTTAACATTGCATATCATTTATTATGCCGTTTTTTGGAAGTATGTACTAAATATATAACTAAATATGTACCAAATCGTTTAACAAAAGTACATATTGAGTTGTTGAATTTAGATTTGGTCATTTTATCCGTTAGCAGAGCAGTCAAAATTTGATATCAAATGCTATTCGAATGTTCGATGATATTGATAAAAGACTAAAAAAAATATTATTTGGTCAACGTTTACGAAACGTCAATTGATATAACAACACGTGTTAACTTAACAGCTTCGTTAGTTGAATGTTATATTGTTTTGATCATCTTTCAAGAACCAGGTGGAAATATTTATTTCAAATATAGGCGGCGCTCTATTATTCCGATACTTTTGATGCAGTAATAAGTTTAGGTATAGGAGAATACACTGACAACTAGTGTGACTTAATAATAATATATAAATGGGTGGCGAACTATTTTATTTTTTCTCTTTTTAGTTACAGCTAGCATTTTAAAAACATAATGCATAATACATGATGATGGTCATTTATAAATATCTGCCATTAGAAATACCTGAAGTTTTTAAGTTTAGAAACACTGGTATTATATAGATATATGTCGTATTGAAATGAAATTTTATTATTATCTACATATATATAAGAGTTTTCCACGTATATAGTCACTCATCACGATATCTCTGGAACCATTAGAGCTAAAGACTTGAAATTTGGTAGGAATATCCTTTTCACCGAGTAGAGGTCAGCTAAGAACGGATTTTAAGAAATTCAAAATAATAATAATAATAATAATGTAAATAGCAAAACGACGTTTGCAGGGTTAGCTAGTAGTGTATATATTGTCTCGAGTGTATTAAAAATCAATTGTGTCGATACGTACTCTTTACGAAAGTAACCTACATAAAACTAGGATTGCGCAGAATTGTGGGATGTGTTACTAATCCCATCTTACCTATGCGAAATTTATACCTACTATGGGTTCTAGGAGATTAATAATTTTTCTTTCAAGTGTAAATATATACCAAGAAGAATACAAATTAACACCTTCATACAAAGAAATATTTGCACTGAACTGATCTGTATCTGATGTACTATGATATGTAACTTGACTTTGACTGCACGGATGGCGTAGTGGTTTAAGCGGTAGTCACGCCGCTTCCTACTTCGCTGAGTGTTATGGGTTCGATCCCCACATGGGACACCACTTTGTGTGATTCACAAATTGTTGTTCTGAGTCTGGGTGTGTCCGTTTCATGTATGTTTATAAAGTCCCCCGCCATACAGGATATATCCCTAATGCGGTAGTTGTCTTTTTAAATGAAATGAAATGAACTGATGTCGTATGCCAAAACCACTTTTCTAAAGAGGGGCCTCTGTCCAGCAGTGGACTATTAAAAACTGTTGATGATGATGATGTCTCCCCGAATATACATCCAGAGACGTATCTTAATAGATAATATAACACACAGAAATACGATTATAATATTCAAAAAACAATGATTAAATTGCTTAAACTTGCATGGGTCGTAACGCGATAATAGATCCCGCGAAGCTATTATTTTTAAGCGTTATTTCTTTGAAGAGTTAATAATACCATACATTCGTTTCTTAAAATGTTCCATATTATGTTAGTAATAACTTGATTCCATTATTAAATCATAACCAAATTTCGATGGACTCCCCGTCGGCACGATTTCTTTCTCTTTTTTCTAGAAATTTGCTGTACAGTAATTATATTTTATATTTTAAAATATAATTACTGTTAATATAGTAAAATTAAATCGAAAATTTCGATAAAAAAAAACGGCATATGGGGTTTATTAACCCCCCGTCGGAACGAAGTTTCTTTCTCTTTTTGGTAGACTTTACTTGTTACACATGTTTTGGTCTCGCTCCCATCCGCTCAGAGGATCCGATAAGGAACTTTGTTTCAATATTCGCCGCTTCCTACTACGCCTACTACGTGTTGTGGGTTCAAACCCCACATGGGACGACACTTTGTGAGATCCACAAATTGTTGTTCTGAGTCTGGGTGTTATTTGTGTCCGTTTCATGTATGTTTGTAAAGTCCCCCGCGACACAGGATATATTCCTAATGCGCGAGTTGTCTTTTTAATAAAAAAAAGAGAATATATTTTTTATGTATAAAATATATAATTATGAATTAAACACTGAATATATCTGAATGACAAGAAGTGCGTAAAAAAGTCTGGTACACATTTTTCAGTCTCGCTCCCATCAGCTCAGACCGTGTTACGCGCGATAAGTAACTTTGTTCCAATAACTATAAGATGCAAGTATCCAAACTGAAATAAATTATATTTTTAAATCATACAAATAAAATCTATCACGTGTGTGGCTCTAGTCGAGTGCATGACATGACATGATATGACACAAAAGACACAAAAAGTTATTTGAACAGAGAATATTTGGTTCTCTAATAATATCACATCACATCACATCAACAGCCTATGATAGTCCACTGCTGGACATAGGCCTCTAGAAATAATAAATGGTTTTTCGCTGTTAGTCCTAGACGCTAGTGAAAATAATGAAAACATAAACAACAAAACACAGACACATGACTTCCACGACCAGACCTAAACTCTATGATAGCTTCGAAATGAGTTCAAATTTACCATCGTCGCTAAATAACAGATTTTCATGTCATTAACTAGCCTTTTGGACTACTGATCCTGACTACTCAGCAGAGGGTTGTGGGTTACCCACCTAATATAAATGAATGTGTGAAGAACACAATCATTTGTTCTGTGTCTGGGTGTAATTTATCTATAATATGTATGTTTAGAAATATATAACAGTAATCTGGTTGCCACAGTCAGCAATGTGTGAAATGCATCTATTGTTATTATAAAAGGCCTGTAGGTTTAAAGGTTAGTGAACCTGACTGCCAAAACCACCTAAGACAAATAATTGTGTCATCAGCACTATCATTTGTACTGTATCTGGGTGTAATAATGTCCGTTTGGTGACGGATAAAGAAGACAGATTGTCACCACCGCTATTTATCCTGTTGGTGTCGTAAGAGCCGACTAAGGCTGCAAACTGCGCAGGACAACAGCACTGAAAAACCTCCTAGCCAGCGCGGTATAATAGACCAAAACCTCATTTCTAAGGAGAGGCCTATGTCCAGCATTGGACTATTAAAGGCTGTTGATTATGGGTGTAATTTATCTGTGATATATTTAGAAATATTTTAGTATGTTTATCAGCAGTCTGATTACCATAGCACAGGATCGCCTAATTTGGAATCAGACAGCCGTGTGTGAGATATCTCGAGTTATTAATATTACCTGTAAAAATTTAAAAGACTAGCTATAGACCGCGGTTCCACTCATGTGATTATTTCTTGCTGCGTGTTTCTAACTTTGAACATAACGAACTTCTGTACTACATGCAAAGGTTGTCTGACGACAATCTAGGATCAATTGATTGTGTTTTTATTTAGTGTAGAATAAATAATAGTCTATCTATTTATACATATATATATATATATATAAAGACGAGAGACGGTCTAGTGGTTAGTGGCTCTGACTGCTGAACCGGAAGTCGTGGATTCGATTCCCACCCCGGATAAATAATTGTGTTATGAGCACGATCATTGGTTCTGATTCTGGGTGTAATTTATCTATGTATGTATGTATGTATTTCGAAATATATAAGTATGTTTATCAGCCTAGGTTGGTCCTGCCTAGTTTGGGATCAGACGGCTGTGTGTGAGATGTGTAAAATTATTATTATTATAAACGTTAAAACTCGCTCCATCTCATCCATCCATTTCGAAAAAGCGTGACACCAAACACTTAGTTTAAAACGACATACCAACCACCAACGCACCGTATCTGCTTTCCACTATAGATCTCATAATTGCATTCAATTAACATCTTCACTTTTTGCCCGATGCGGTCTATTAAGCTCTAGTTTGCAACTAATTAGTCTGTGCGTGCTAATTATCATGCGTGGGTGAAAAGCACCATTCAGAGGATTACTTATTCATATTAATGACGACAGAAACGGTTGATGTAGTTTTTTCAACTCAACTCAACTTCAACTCACTCACTCGGTTGTTTTATCGCAAACTGGACAGAGCGTGCACTATAGTAATCAGGCTTTTGGTAAATATACTTAATCTATACTAATATTATAAAGCTGAAGAGTTTGTTTGTTTGTTTGTTTGTTTGTTTGTTTGAACGCGCTAATCTCAGGAACTACTGGTCCGATTTGAAAAATTCTTTCAGTGTTAGATAGCCCATTTATCGAGGAAGGCTATAGGCTATATATCATCACGCTAAGAGCAATAGGAGCGGAGCACCAAAGAAGAATGTTTCAAAAACGGAGAAAATTTATTACTATTGAGAGACGCAGACGAAGTTGCGCGGGTCAGCTAGTTGTTAATAAATAACACTCAGACACAGAACAAATTGAGGTGTTTATCACACAACTATTAATTTGATCAAATACACACTGATGATCAAATACAAATGAACTGACCTTACATAACATTGTACTGTTATTTAAGGTCAGTTCTAAGGATATAAAGATTCACATAAAAGCAGTCTCGCCCCTATCCCCGATGAGATAGATGAGATAGGCATGTTTTTGTAACCATACAAAGAACTTCATCATCATCATCATCATCAACAGCTTTTAATTGTCCACTCCTGAACATAGGCCCCTCCTTAGAAAGAAGGTTTTTGCCAACTATACCACCCTTTTTTTTTTTTTTTTCGTGCGGAAATCCCCTCGGATACCACCTATCGGTGGCATGTCGGACTCGAACCGACTAAAACCGCATGCCGTCTCGGGTACTAATAGCCGGGGAACCAGGTATACCCTAGAAAGGAAGTCCCTGGTGAACTATACCACCCTGGCCAGACGGGTTTGTAAAGGCTTTGTTTCAAGTTTTCCTTCTCTTTGCAGTGCTGTTGTGCTGCGTAGTTTACTCCCTAAGTCAGCTATTACGTCACTGGTTGACTAGGGGTTATAACACTCCGTATTTTTAATCCGTCACCAGAGAACTTCTACCTCGTCTAGAATATTTATTTTCAACAAATAATTGGCAGTTCGTACGACAAGTTCATCGAAATGTTTAACTTTTAGTAGCGAGCAAATTGTTTGTGTGATAACCCAGAAGGTCATCTATAAACTGGCTGTTACTAAAACCGTAACACCAACCGTTTAATAAGTAATAGGTTCAGTTGCGTGTCAATTAGTCATCGCTGATCGCATTGCTTTGGAGAGAAAGGAGGTTACAGCTATAGGCCTATAATTGGACGGGTCTGTTCTACATCCCTTGAATGCATCTTTTGTAGTGATCCTTGTTTCACTAATGGAATGTTTTCTCATTCCTTTTATCAATGCATATTTTCTAGTTACATTGCCATAAAAAATGTTATCTTATAAAGTATACTCTATCTAAAAAGGAGGACAGAGGTTGACCTCGTAAAATTTTCCAATAGAATTAAAAACAAAGGACCTATTCTATAATACTTCCGCCCTGACGGAAGTATTCAAAACCGATGAGCTTGTATTAAAGAATTTAATCTAGAGGACCTTAACAGACATTGAGGACAATAGAGGAAACTTTGACAGGATTGATGACTGCACGGATGGCGTAGTGGTTTGAGCCGTCCCCTCGCCGTTCCTTAATGCGCTGAGTGTTGTAGCTTTAATTCCCAAGTGTGACAACACTTTGTGTGATCCACAAATTGTTATTCTAAGTCCGGGTGTGCTTTGTGTCTGTATTAGAAATGTTTGTAAAGTCAACCATGTTACAGGGTGTATTCCTGATAAATTGAGTGTATTTTTTATGATAAAAAACTTAGAGGAAGGTAGTAAGATATGTAGGGAGAGAAAAGTTGACTTTATGTATGGTATGTGATTGTTGTAATCAGTTGTTACATTTGTAAATACGTGGTTTTCTCCTTTATAGGAAGTATTGTAAGAATGTAATAGCGTAATACACGCGTTCGTTTATTGGAATAATTGTTTTTATTTTCGAAAAAAATCTGCTTCTGCACGTAAGGTATTATTAGTGGATGGTTCTGAATATATCAAGCAGTCGTGTAATGAGTAATTAGAAACATAATGCTTACCTATTTCTGTTTTTCTTTTGTAGGCTTGGTTATTTAAGTGTTTAGGGCACCTAAAAGGCGAAAGAGTCAATACAGGCGTACATTCAAAACAAGACTTTTTTCTGACACTTCTTTCTATAGGTCTACCACAAAGCGAAAGGAACTTCGTTCCGACCAGGGGTCCGTAGACCCCTCATGCCGTTTTTATAAAACTGTTGCGACCTCGTTTGAAACCAATTATCTTTAATCACTTACTAAAACACTGTTAACCTATCAATATTCGGATTATTAGTTCTAAATCGAGAAAGTTACTTACAAATGCAAATATTTCAATTTCAGGTCAAATTCCCAACTGAAGATGTCAACGACATTCAAGGAGAAGAAGGTCGTAACAAAAAGAAGAAACTAGCTCCTTTCTTGGCAATCCCAATTCTCATCGGTGGAATGATGGTACCACTTGCTTTTGGAGCCCTGGCACTGTTAGCTGGAAAGGCACTCATCGTTTCCAAATTGGCCTTGGTTCTCGCTGGTATCATTGGGTTGAAGAAACTATTATCATCCAATGGAAATGGAGAAGCTCACGAGGTTGTAGTATCGGCAGGACATGCTGGCCCTGGGTGGAGCAGGTGAGATATAATATCATTAATAATTCTGGTAACACATCAAGTATCATTGACAGCTTTTCTTTATTAAGTGGACTGTTCCAATTATATGAATAATGTAGAAGGAATTGTACATGATCTTGCTGATGGTAAGCAGATACTAGACTTAGCATTCGCAGTTCAAGAGTTGTTGCTCGGGTCCTACCAGCTTAACCCATTGGGATTACTGATTGCTAAATAAAAATCGTCTGTGTAGTGACGGATTTAGAAATACGGAGTGTCACCATTCTTATTCATTCCGTGGGTGTCATAAGAGCCAACTACAGAAAACAAACTCTAAAGGACTACAGCACTGCAAAGAGAAGGAAAACCTGAAACAAACCCTATACCAACCCATTTTGCCAGCGTGGTATAGTAGGTCAAGACTTCTCTAAGTAGAGGTCTTTGTTCAGCAGTGGATCATCAAAGGCTTGATGATTAAATAAAAGCCAAGATTAGACTCGTATCAATTTATTAAATTTTTATTAAATCTTTTTCTTCTTTTGTTGATGTTATTTTCCTCAGTTTGGAAACTTTGCTTTAATAATTAAAATAGATGCTATGGGCTTATCAAGGAATTTAAGTATTATGACGCATTTACAAAATACAATAATTCCATCGAACTTAACAAGGACCTTCCATCACCTGTAAAATTTACTGTCAAATCAGTGTTCAGTGCTACATTCTTAACTTTTTTTATATAGTAATACACTCACGATTTAGTGTTTTGTAAGTAAAATTTTGCTAAGCCTAGTTGTGGCTGAAAAGGCCTGCAAAATCGACCATTTCTACCTTTTATCTTACCAGATTCTTACTTCGTTGGTCCAGATTAGGTAATTGACATGTTTATTACTTACACCTAAAGTATTCCACTAATTCCTGATTTTAATTTTGGCTACTTCCAACACCATAGTCAATCTTTAATAACAGTGACAAATGCCTTAACATGCCAACCATTGCGTCAGCGCTATTCATATGAATGGTCATAAAGCTATAGATTTAATGGGTTTGAACACTTTCACTTCTTTAATAATAGTATTTGGAAGTGAGACCATTTTCACTATCGACTAACATTAGCGGTTTTAAGCTCGAAGGACCATAAAATTCATGGACCACAAAACTGTACTTTATTATAATGATGCGAATTATTAGATGTTTCTGTATCAAGTCCGCCTTTGTCCAATCATGTTGTACAAAATGGTGTGAATTATGCGGTATTATTTAAAAAAAAACTACTACATATTATTTATACATTTATAAATAAAAATAAAAAATTATACTACGTACTATATTAAAACAATAGTACTGACTATTATTTATGATGTTTCCGTGATACCTGAAATCTAACATTTAGTTGTAAATTAAAATAATGTTTTCAGCTGAGAAATGAGGAGTAAGAAACCCACTTTTTCATGAACAAACAGATTACCTAGTCTACCGCCTGTGTGTGTGTGTGTTTTTTCCATATGCATTCCTAAATTATGTCTTTTAGCTAAAATTTAAAAGAATCAAGGAACTTCTTTACCTAAATATGTTTAGTATTCAAAACCATGTGTTTGTGTCTTTCAGGTCGATCGAGAAGGCACATGATCTGGCGTACAATGCCCACACCCAATAGCCACGCACCCCACCGTAACGTTATTATGCGAATAAGGAATACTCGGTTTCTAAAAAATAAAACGTATCATTAAGTTCATAGCCAGTAAGCAGTACATAATTATTCAACATTTGAAAGAGAAATTCTCACGAAGATAAATAAATCTAAATAAAAAAATATATATTGCACATATAAACATGTATATATATATATTATATATATATATATTTATTTTAAATTAATTTATAAAACTAAACTTATCTGTTTATGTAACTACTAAAACTATTTGTTTAATAACATAACTCATTAAAAAGTAAAAGTTCCCATTTTAAAATTCAATAGTTTTACGTGTCATATTTTGTTATTTTACAAGTATATTTGTTTTTTCATTTAAAAATTATAACACAAAATAACTGAAATCATTTAGTTAATTGATAAATATAATGTTATACATCCATACATATATATTTTGACTATTTATAAAAGGATTAGCAGGTTATAATTTAAAAACAAAATTCTAATAAAATATAATTATTCAGTATTTATAGTAAATGCAAAAATTCAAAATGATTTGGAGATTTTTTTCTTAGCATTTTTTTATTGAAGTACCTCCAATACTCTTAATGATATAATTATTTAATTTAAATCTAAGGTATTTAAGTATTTTTTATTTACTACGATTAAGGTACAGTTTAATTAGACTTTGGGATTTGCTTTAATTAATTTATATATTTGCATAGTATTTGCTATTTATTTTTCGAGATATGTATCTCATAATGAACTTAAATAAATGTTTTATGTATTCATTGAGCATAAATCTTTATATTATACAAATATGATACATTTATGTGTACTCAGTATTGTTTTTCAATTAGATATAATATTTATCTTATTTATGTATGCATATATATATTTTTATATATTTTTCATACGAAGTAAAGACTGATCATAAAATGCATTATTGTATTGTATACATTATTAATAATGATAAAAATATAGTATCTACATGTACATATGTAAATAATTATTACATTTATTTATCTTAAATATTTATGTATATAATTTAAAGTGTTATTGAATGCCAAATATTAAAATTTACACAAATGTTATTTATTCATCTATTTAGGTTAAAGATCTGTGGATATGTTATTTTTTCTAATATTGTTAAAATGATGCTCATTTATTTATTTAAATGTAAATATTACATTATTTATTTCTTTCAATTTTACCGTCAAGTCATTTCGTTAATTTATTCAAATAATTTCATTATTTTTATCAAATGTTTTTAATAAAACTGTTAGTACTCATAAATGTTTGTTTTATTATGGTGAGAGCCTGAAAGCACATGTCTTCATGCAAGCGATACTTTTTTTTAACTTCTTTCTTTGCTAAACATTCATTAGTTTTCAAATATTTTTATTATTTTAGCAATTACCACAATTACTAATTTTCGTAAATAAAATTGTTTTCAGAAAAACAAAATCTGAACATTAATTTCATTTTTTTTTTTGAAAATGATTTTTATGCATGAATAAAAAAAGTTTTTAGATTTATTATACAAATTTATATATGTATACATACGAGTATATTCATTCGCATTGCTCATTTTCTGCAGTATTGCCGGTGTTTATAGAAATATAGGTAAAACTGCAGGAAATGAGTAACCAAGAAATAACATAACGGTTTACATTCCTTCACTGCAAAAACTCGAACTCTGAACTTGTGTTCACTTTCACTACCACGCAAATATTTCGCACAGTTACTCAATGCAGTAGTCGACTTCTTCACAAACATGCTTCATATGAACAATGTCTTCATACATAATTCAGAAGGGTGTGATCGCCAAATTTTTATGTACGGACAAAGAAATTGTGTCAATACGTGTAAATATTGATTAATTTAAAAAAAGAGTATCCCTGACTTCGATGAGCTAACATAAAATAAGTTGTTTCCGCAGCCTTTGGTCGAATATTATTTTCAAACTTAAATGTGTACAAACAATTAAATAAAAAAAATTAATTGAAATCGGTTTGTAAATAGTAAAAACTTCTCATAAGATACAAAGAAAACGAAAACTTCAGTCAAATTAGTAACCTCCATTTTAAAGTCCAAAGTTAAAAGTCACGCAATCATAAGACGTAAGAGTTAGGTTTAAAAAAAGGTATCAGATTGCTGCATAAGTAGTTAAAATTAGAATTAATGTTAAATAAATAAAATAAGTAAGTTAGTAATAATTGAATTTAGATATTACTTTAAACAACATAATATGGAAATTATTTTGAATGAAATGTTTATTAAATTTTCTTACATACAGCCAAGAAAGCAAATGAACTGTTCTACAGTCCTGAGCAGTAAGTTAGGCAAGATTATTCTACTTACAAATATAACATAAAAAAAAATACTTTGCGTATTCCTTACGATAAGATGGGTACGCGACAAAAGTGCTCTCTTTTTAAATTCTTTTTTTTAAGATTACGTAATTATTAACACTCCTTTATAAAATAAATAAAAACTACGTGAGGGATCTATGGGTCATTGAAGTATTCTGACTAAAAAGAAGCCTCAAGATACTCACGTTCATAGTTTCTTTAGCATTATATGTATGTACATGTTAATATTTAAGCGTAGATTATACGTTTGTTGTGATGCCTGCGGTCATCACAATAATACTTATAGTAATATTTCAGCAAAAATGAGAAAACATTTTCGTGCTTTACTGTCCATTGAGGGTTGAACGTGAATTAACAACATTAAAATTTAAATACCTATAATAATATAATAATAATAATAATATTCTACCACAATCACACAACGCCATCTAGTCCCAAACTAAGCAAATCTTGTACTATGGGTACTAGACAACTGATATAAATACATATATACTTTTTTTTTTTTGTAAATACATATTATACACAGAAACACCCAGACCAAACCCTGAGGGGTTGAACATGAACAACATTTAGGGGTTAAACATGGACAGGGTTAGAGATTGTAGAGGTTCAACGTGGACTAAATCTAAATTATTTTAACCCAATCCAACATTAAATTATTAAAACGTATTTAAAACTTAACAATTCAATATTCATGGAGTTACAATAGTTTTGTTTCTAAGCTACAAAATACCCCTACAGTAAAATGCACGGTCATTAAATTGTAATTACAGTCCCATCTATATATAATAATAGGGACATTATAAATATTTGTAAAGATGGATCGCCGGGTTACTTTCTCTCAAGTTCGACGGCCTTAAGGGCTTCACATAATGATTCTATTTGTATCTTTGCACCTGCAACGACACAAGTACCTACTTGAAGCGGATGTTCATTCTCTTTTTAGTTCATAGGCATAATAGCTGTTCGCGATTGAGGGGGGAAGTCGCGATTGAGGGGGGAAGTGATTTTCCCCTGGGATAGGGCCTGACTAGGCATGGTGTCAATTCGGGGAGGACCTGAAATAACATGGTCCGGGTCCTCCCAGAGTAGGACACCTGAGGCCGGCCGTCGGGGTGGTTTTTAGTGGAATCACCACATACTCCTAGCTCCTAGCCCCGAGGAGCAGGAGATCCGAAGGGATTTTCCACCCCGTCAACAAAAAAAAAAAAAAAAAAAAAAAAAAAAAAAAAAAAAAAAACAGCATAATAGCTGTTTATTTCAATCTTTAAAACATAACATTATTTAAAGGAACATAACAATTTTTTGGGTAGGAGATTTTAGCCGACTATATCGGTCAGACGGGTTGGTATAGGGTTTATTTCAAGTTTTCTTTGTAGTGCTGTTGGGCTTCGTAGTTGCTCCCTTAGTCGGCTCTTACAAAACCCACGGGATAAATAGGGATGGTTACAATACGTATTCTTAATTCCCATCAGATTGGTCTCAAACTGTTGAATTTGTGTTCTAAGACCATTTTTTAATGACTACAAACAAATTTGTCTTTACAATCATTACTTTTATCGATCTTTAAAATGATAAAGTTGAAAATTTTGGTTCAGGACTAAACGTAAAAACTCTGAAACTAGTAGTCCGATTTGAAAAATATTTACCTATTGACATTATTAGTTCAATTCTTTATTAGGTTTATAATCTATTAAGCATCACGCAACGGCCTTTTCGAGCGGGGCAGAGACGCAATTAAAGTGGAAAAAAGGCAACAGCCTTGCACGAAGTAAATGACACCTGTTATATTTATTTATAACTAGCTGAGACCCGCGGTGTTACCCGCGTTTGTTGTCATAACCGCGGGGCGAAGCTTTCTAAAAAAAGTAGCCTAAGTTACTCCTTATGCCATCAGCTATCTGCCAGTGAAAGTCCCGTTGAAATCGGTCCAGCCGTTCCAGAGATTACCCGTAACAAACAGACAGACAGACAAAAATTGTAAAAAATGATATTTTGGCATATGTACCGTGTAAACATACATATGCATTTAGTAAAAAGCGGTTATTTTAATATTACAAACAGACACTCCAATTTTATTTATTTGTATAGATCAATAATCCTCTTTTGAAAGAGAAAACAAGTGAGACCATGAGGGAAAGTATATATACAATAAATCAATGGTGTTATGTTAAACACATTATTTGAACAAGGCCTTCTTGACTTTCTTTAGACTTAATGGTGTATTGTTGACGTTGGGTATTAGTACCTATTATGTTATTTCATTTGTTACCACCAGGGGAGCGAGCGATGAATACTGTCCACTCAGACAATATAGGATGGCAGACGGGCCAGTCTCTTTATATAGACTCTCTTTAGATAGTAGGCCAAACCCTTCTTTTTAAGGAGAGGCCTACGTCCAGCAGTGGACTACTAAAGGCTGTTGATGATGATGACACGGGCAAGGTCACTTGATGGTAAGTACAGTAAAAACCATATCAACTGCAAGCCTCTACTCTGATGAGTGCCCGGTACATGTGATTTCAGGTCCCCCCTAGTGTTAAATTTCCACACAGCACACCTAGAATATGAACACACATCCTAAAAAAAAAGAACCTTAAAGTTTAAAATATCTGTCACTTTATATTTGAA